AGTGCGCTTGGGCTCGACGGTGTTCTGGCGGGTAGGGCAAGGGCAAGGGCAAGGGCAAACGCACTGGCGCTTCGTAACGCTTCCACCGCGGTGACCACCGCGGCTGGCGCCCCGGCCGCTCATGCCGTGCTCCTGCATGCGGTGCTCACGGTGCTCCTCACCACCCTGGTGCCCATGGTGCCCACGGTGCTCATGGGAAGGCTCCCTGCAGAATTCGTGCTCACGATGCCCATGGCCACCCTCCATCCCATAGCCACCATGGCCACCCTCCATCCCATGGCCACCCTCCATCCCATAGCAACCATGGCCACCCTCCATCCCATGGCCACCCTCCATCCCATGGCCACCCTCCATCCCATAGCCACCATGGCCACCCTCCATCCCATGGCCACCATGGCCACCCTCCATGTGGTGACCGTAGCACTCATGCTCACAAGGCTTCATGCAGTAGCACTCATGCTCACAACCCTCCATGCGGTGGTGTGTAGGCTCATGCTCACGATGTCCCTCCATGCGGTGGTGTGTAGGCTCATGCTCACGATGTCCCTCCATGCGGTGGGTAGGCTCCATGTGGTGACCATGGCGCTCATGCTCATGACCCTCCATGCGGTGGTGGGTAGGTTCATGCTCACGATGTCCCCCCATGCGGTGGGTACGCTCCATGCGGTGCCCATGCTCACCATGCCCCTCCATGCGGTGGTGGGTAGGCTCCATGCGGTGACCGTGGGACCCACCCTCCATGCGGTGCTCCATGTGGTGACCGTGGGACCCTTGCTCACCATGCCCCACCATGCGGCGGGTCAGCCCCGTGCGGCCATGGGTCTCACGCTCACGACCCTCGCGGCACTCCTCCCTGGTCGGCTCGGTGCGGTGGTGGGTAGGCTCGGTGCGGTGATGAGTAGGCTCCATGCGGTGGCCACGGTGCTCTTGCTCACGGTTCTCGCGGCACTCCTCCCTGGCCGGCTCAGTGCGGTGGTGGGTAGGCTCCATGCGGTGGCCACGGAACTCTTGCTCACGGTTCTCGCGGCACTCCTCCCTGGCCGGCTCAGTGCGGTGATGGGTCGGCTCGGTGCGGTGATGAGTAGGCTCCATGCGGTGGCCACGGTGCTCTTGCTCACGGTTCTCGCGGCACTCCTCCCTGGCCGGCTCAGTGCGGTGGTGGGTAGGCTCCATGCGGTGGCCACGGAACTCTTGCTCACGGTTCTCGCGGCACTCCTCCCTGGCCGGCTCAGTGCGGTGATGGGTCGGCTCGGTGCGGTGATGAGTAGGCTCCATGCGGTGGCCACGGTGCTCTTGCTCACGGTTCTCGCGGCACTCCTCCCTGGCCGGCTCAGTGCGGTGGTGGGTCGGCTCGGTGCGGTGATGGGTAGGCTCCATGCGGTGGCCGCGGAACTCTTGCTCACGGCATTCCTCCCTGGCCGGCTCGGTGCGGCCCTCCCTGTGGCCTTCCCTGGTCGGCTCAGTGCGGCCGAACTCTTGCTCACGATTCTCGCGGCACTCCTCCCTGGCCGGCTCGGTGCGGTGGTGGGTCGGCTCGGTGCGGTGATGGGTGGGCTCCATGTGGTGGCCACGGAACTCTTGCTCACGATTCTCGCGGCACTCCTCCCTGGCCGGCTCGGTGCGGTGATGGGTCGGCTCGGTGCGGTGATGGGTAGGCTCCATGCGGTGGCCACGGTGCTCTTGCTCACGGTTCTCGCGGCACTCCTCCCTGGCCGGCTCAGTGCGGTGGTGGGTCGGCTCGGTGCGGTGATGAGTAGGCTCCATGCGGTGGCCGCGGAACTCTTGCTCACGGCATTCCTCCCTGGCCGGCTCGGTGCGGCCCTCCCTGGTCGGCTCGGTGCGGCCCTCCCTGTGGCCTTCCCTGGTCGGCTCGGTGCGGCCCTCCCTGTGGCCTTCCCTGGTCGGCTCAGTGCGGCCGAACTCTTGCTCACGATTCTCGCGGCACTCCTCCCTGGCCGGCTCGGTGCGGTGGTGGGTCGGCTCGGTGCGGTGGTGGGTAGGCTCCATGCGGTGGCCGCTGGACTCACGCTCACGCTCCTCGCAACACCTCTCCCTGGTCGGCTCGGTGCGGCGGGAAGTCGGGGCTTCAACGACATCCATATTCACCCTGGAACCCTCGCCCTGGGCGCACTCGTGATGCATCGCCTCCCTGGTGGTGCCGGTGCCAGTCTCACCGCTGAATGCGGCAGCGCTGGACACGGCGCCGCCGGTCGAGCCGGTGGATCCTTCCGGAGCGACAGGAGCGGCCTTGGCAAGTCCACCAAGAGCCACGACGGCGAGAATGAGGGAGTGGCAAATCTGCATCTGCATCTTGAAAGTGGTATCTAACTGTCGATTGTCAGCATCCAGTGTTTGAAACGGACCGTGGAGACGAACAGGTAAAACTTTGGGAAAAGGTGAAGTGAATGAAAGTTGGACTTTTGTTGTGAGACTGTGAGACTGTGAGACTGAGAGCGAATGAGAGGATGCTGGGTCAGGACAATGTGGGATATGCTGGCTTATATAGCTTCCTGCTCTCATAAAAGTTCTTTTCGCATCTCCAGTCAACCCTGCGGGGAGGTCCTCTGTCTAGACCGCCGGCCATTGCCGCACGGAGAGTAAAGAGCCCGGTGCTTCAACAACTGGAGGCCTTTTTCATGTGATAACCCAATGATAGAAACGAAAGGGCACGAAATCGCTCGTGTAGTGGGTAAAAAGGTCGTGAGGCACTGCGAGAGGGCAGTTTGCGCCGAGAGGACTGAACAACCTACCTCCCCGAATTGGGTCATTCTTCTGATCGTAGCTTGAGCTTTGAAGCTTAAGCCCGTACCGTTCAATCCAGTTCCAGGACATACTGTCGGCGTTCTTGAGTGGAGATGTACGTTCTGTACCAGAGTAACCTAAATCATTGCGCGCTAAGGGACCAAGGCTTCTATCGCGATTATCGCGCTAAGCTGAAGTTATGGCTCTCTTACCCGACAGGCATTACACGACGCAACAAAAATAATCGTTCGTTTTGGTATCCAATTGAGGAGAGGTGGGGCCTAATGGATCCGGCGATGAAACTCGCAATATTCCATTTAATATGTTTGCTGTTCCTGTACACCAGCGAATCCGATTTTACAGGCGGGGAGCTTATTTGGAGAGTAACGGGCATGTAAGGTTACAAATCCCGCTTCATAGAAACACGGCGATCCGCTAAAAGTGGTCGTCGAAAAGCCAGCTCTACATGGGCCATGGTAACCGAGAGTGTTACCCTACTCCACAGCGATCAGATCTAGATCAACGTTTGCAATGTTCGAATCGTTTCTCCAACTGTAGAGTACTGGCACCGGCCTCGGGAGTGCAATTCAATCAATTGACGCTTATGGTACGAAGAGAAGCGGATGAATCAAGATTCAAGGATGGTGCTCACTCAGAAGAGGATTCCTCGTTGCCATAACTCTCTCAATCCCGATCATAACATGTCGAACCGCTCGAGGACTGTCTATGATTTGCACCGAAATATCGAGCGATGTGGCTACAGAGAACACTGCTTTAGATCATCTGGCCAGTCGTGGACTGTTCTCTAAAGTATTGAAGTAAGACGTTTTCTCTTCGTTCTGGTTCTCTCCTAGCAGTTTCCGGCGACCGCGGCCGCTCCTTTACACCTTCCCGCTGTTCAAAAAATTTCAAAAGTTGCTTTCAATGATATTACTCCAGCATCAGTTCCGGTCCAACGCAGCGTCAAGGTTCAGAACTGGCATGGTATCTGCGTCCAAATGACTTCGCATCCACAGACGAATACTCACTCTGCGATACGAATGAATGCGCATCGAGTGCGGTAACAAAACGGTTTTCACTTTTGTAAAACTGTAGTGCCGTTTCACTGCCGCTCAAATCGCACCCTCCTTTTTGCTACAGACGAGCGACGGCTGGTATGACATGTAATATCCACCCGGTTGACGGTTCGAAAGCGTTCTCTTTCCAAACAATGCGAACAACACTCTCTCCTGCTGAAGGGGCTCTGGTGTTCCAACGATACTCCTTCGATCAAAAAACGCCCCGTCAGGCCTGGTGAAAACCGCGTCGGCCTCCTCCAGGATTCTCTGGTAACAGCTATGCAAGACCCCGTTTTCTCTATACTTTGGATCATCCAGCCATCGTTTGTAAGGGCATGGAGTGTTCTCCGGCTACTTGTCCAACGTATTTAATGTAGAAAATTTGCTCCTCGTCCAGCTTCCTGGTATTGAGAAGATTTGCCCAGCGCTTACCCTCTTCGAAAATGCGCGATTTCCGCTGCCAGGACACGATCACCGTCTTCAGCCCCCTAACACGGAGGGCGAAGCTCCGGATGTACAAAGCATGCTTCTTTCCAGAAGGAACTAAAGTAGCAATGCTCTTGGAGAGGGGGAGCACTCGACGGATATCCATCTCAGACAATCCAACGGGAAACCTGCCATTCCATGCCACACGTCCAGCTGTTCGGGGGTGTCGTTCACTGTCGGTCCCAGCCAGCGATATGTCTCATAATAGACGTCCGAACGGTCGACATGGTCAATATCGAGGCTATGCTCGATGTGCTGCCACAGACGGTCTCTGATAGCGCCATGTGTCCGATACGAGAGAGGCGCTGTTGGGTTCCTAACATGTAGAGTGTAATTCGCAGGCCCGAAGCAGGCTGTCCGAGTGTAGAAATAGAAAGCCTCTCCCTGGGCACGTTATCGCTTGTGTGCTCCTAGAACACCGAAGTTAGCAATGGAGGCCTGGAGTGCTTTTTTTTCTTGGTTCAATGAGGGAAGCGGGTTGGTTATTGGCTTGTTTTTCGGTGGTCGCTGCCGGGTTCTCTGTGCAGCTGTCATTACACGCACTCCTCTTGCTCTCATCAGGCAAGCGAAGACGTCCTCTTGCCTCTCACAAGAAGTATTAGATGGAAGTTCTTTAGCATGGTAAATCGAGAGAGAAAGCTGGGAGTCGGGTCGGAAGCGTGAGGGTCACTTATGGGTGCTTGGGTTTGAATAATAACCAAACACGTCATGAAAGCTCCCGTGGCCAAGTGGCTAAGGCGTTGCACTTGTATTGTGATAGAAATGCAAAGATCACCGGTTCAAATCCGGTCGGGAGCTTCTCTTTCTTTTTCAATTATTTTTTTCATCCTTTGATGCGACTAATATCCGATCTGCCAACCGTTATAAAGTCAATAACAAAAGCCATCGTCCCACGGCCTTCAATGGTGGCCGTTACTGGACGAGTGCCTTTTCACTTCGAGCATATATGCTTTCAAACTCTTCCCATGGAAAGGAAGACTCCAAAGCGTAGCTTCTGACGCTGCACCACATTTTCCGCTTGAGCAAGGCGCGGACCAAAGCCTGCTAGCAGCGTCCGCTTTCATATTCCCGCCGGCGTGCCTCCAGGCCAGAGCTACCCACTTCCTCCGAACAAAACAAAACAAAAAAATGATCGTAACAAATAATGACCTCCCTATCCACCTCCCCGCTGCGCCCCCCCCCCCCCCTCTTTCTTCCCCCGAGGGCCTGGCGTTGACAGCGCTCCCCTCGCCAATGCAGACGTGACACTCACGACCAGCCCGACTCGGCTGCCCGAGTAGATATGCACAACCATCACCACTCGGCATCAGTCCATGCTCAGTACGGCCACGGAGCATACAGTGCAAGGCTAAAAACACCTGTCGTACCAACGGCACAATGTGTAAAGCGACATGTAGCATACGAAGAAAGCTCACAGTCCCACGCCGAGCTTGGGGGCTCTTGGCGCGAATGAGCTCGTGTGTTCGCCCCCCCGTGAAACACTATGATGATTTGCGGACAATCAGCTACGGGTCATAGAACACTGAACCCACCTTTCTCCCATAAGTTCGAAACCGTAGAAGCCAAATTGTCGCTCAAAAGAGAGCCGTTGTCAAAAAGGGTAATTGATTGTTATAGAAACAACGCATTCAAAACGGATGAAAAACGCGGCTGGTGGTTCATATTGCTTACGTGGCACTGTTGTTCCACTTTCCGAGACGGGGGTTCGCGGGTGGAGAGGGAGTACACAGACAGCACCGAGCTGATACTGGTGGGCTGGTCATCAAGGTGAAGCGGACGTGGTCGATGACGGTGGAGGTAATGGATGCGTGGGGACATAATCTGATCCATGGTCTCAGGAGACGGAGATGGAGTGAGAAACGAACGTGAAGGGCGTAAATTCTGATGGATCTCCCGATCTACATGGGTCCGATTTGGCTGTAAGGAGGCTGATTTCCTGTACTCGGCTCCTCTGTTTTGAGGACCTTTTCGATCGCCTCCCGCACTCCTGCAGGGTAGCCCCTCACCGTGTTTGCACCTGGTGGAAGACATCCTCGTTGACGATAGGTGCTCCAAATCAATGTAATCTCGAGGAGCTGGCTGCTGTCTGGGTGTTTCGGCGACCCTTGTATGGGGCCCGCGCTGATGACTGTTTATGTTGATAGAGTCACGTAGGCCGGGTCCTGGAACCTGAACAGCCAGCGGGGCCGGCACCGGGTGCTTTTCACAGCGGCATCGCGCCGTATCTTCCGGTGTTTCTCCGCTACCGGCACCATTTCTGGACCGTACCGGGGACGGGGAAATGCCGGCGGTGCCATTGCTCACCAAGTACCCGCGCCCCGCCTTTCGATCATCATTGAAATTGTGACCGCGACGTCCAATCCCACCAATAGAAAACCCTCGACACCCGCCCCCAACCCTCCGGCCCGCTCGTTGCTTAAGACACAGACGATACGGTATGCCAAGCACATTTGAAGGAATCAAATCAAGCGAACGTGCGAGCGACCTGCTTTGATTTATCGTTTGAGCGGCCGGCATTTCATACTACGTCCTCGCACGCACGCGTATGCTGGTGCTCAACCAGGCGACGGCACATAAACCTCTGGAACGTCAGTCCAGAATACCCTAACCCAAGGCTCATCCGTTCTCACTCGTTGCCATGCATTTCCGATTTGCGCTGGTACTCTGGTTTTGTGGCTAGGTAGAAATTCCGTTTTCTGGGGACAAAAGGTCTAGACTAGACATAGTAACACCGCGGTGGTGAGCTGCTACTCGTGTCGTCTGAAATAAGCTGGTTGGAGTCACCCATAGCACACACAGCACGGGCCATGCACAAGCAACCATGACCCACCAGTATTTTTAACAGTGCTTTGTGCTCTGAACATGCGGAGGGAACACGACAGATTGCTTGTGGCCAGACGGAGAGAGGCATACCATCAGGCAATTCTCTGCAGTGACCAAAAAAAAAAAAAAAACAGAAAAAATTACGGGCCCGGCTTCGGACCCCATTACGTATACTAGTCTGGAGCCCTCCTTCCAAGATACCAATTAGAGCCGAACCAACCAAAACTCCAACTCCCCAAGGACAAAACCAGGTATTACATAGGAAACTCATAGTCTATCGTTGCAGCTCTCCCTTCCTAACAATGTCTCTCAACCCAGTCGAGGAGGAAGAAACCGAGGTTCGTGCGTCATCATCGGTGTCGTTGTCCTCGTCGTCTTTCAATAGACCGCCAATGTCGTAAAGAACTGGCGTGTTCCGCTCCTGCTCCAGCGATAAGGGAGACATGATAGGTGAAATCTCCCGCAGCTCTGCCTCTCGCGGTGCGGTGGCACCGTGTAGTACAGCAGTGCTCGGTGTTTGCAGCGCCCCCTCGGTATCACACCCCGATAACCCGTATCCCCTCTGAAGCCTCTCTGCGCTGATCCCCGGGACCCTTCCCACGCCTAGATAACGTGCGAGATCGTCATCACTACCCCAGTACGCCCTTCTCACTTGCCCTGCTTCCGCACCCTCTATCCCACTCTCTCCTGTGAATTTACGTTTCTTGGCTCCCTTGTCGCGCGCGAATGAGTTTATGACGATGGCATTGCTGACCATGGTGGCTGTGAGGATTTCGAAGGCTGCAAGGAGCGAACGCAGATGCTGTGATCCGTGTGCGCGGATGACTGTTGGCACTCTGTAGCCGGCAAACGCGATGCAGAAGAGCGAAAGACTGAATACTGTTATGATCAAGCGGATCTTTTTCGCCGTCGTGAACGAAGTACGAACTATCGCCGGAATCGGGCACAAAACGAGCAAGGCGTCCGTTAGAATGCTGAAGGTCGAAACGGTGATCAACGGTGCAAAAGCTGTACGGCATTGAGCACCTGGGTCCGGCTGTACTTGCCCTACATGCTATTAGCGATTGCAAGGTGATGACGATTCTAGGACACCCACAAAGCCTAGTTTCCATGTTAGAGATTCAGCATTAAGCCGGAGGAAAAACACTCACTTGTAACCGGGCTGGCAATATGCGAAGATAGATATTGTGCTGGCCAAAAAGGTGGCTAGAAGACTCCACCTGATGATCCTCAATCCAATCTCGTAGCTTCTCTCCCAAAATCCATCCGTTAATCGCATGTAAAACTCGGTGATGCAAAACTTTTGAGACCAGAGACTGCAGAGGTCAGATTCGATCTTTCATGGCACTGATTCACCACACCTACAATGCCGCATATGTCACTCGGGCACCCAGCACCATTCCGCTCCCTATCTGGCGCCTCCGCAATTCCTCAGGCCCCATGTTCTGCACACCAGCCGCATTGTTTGTCTCGTAGATCAGAACCACATGTACAAATGCCTGATGCGCTAGCAGTGGAATAATTGTGAGGGCCATGAACTTGTCATCGCGATATAACTTCGAAACTCGAACGTAGCGTCCCATGAGTCGCATCAATATCAATGCGATGCAGCAGCCGGTGCACCACCACGTCACCAAGAGCGTCGGGTTGTCTTGCCGGGGCGTGCGAGCGTCAGGAGGCGATCCGTAACGGGCGAACAGTCCCCGCAGGACTGACATCGTTTGGGGGCACCAGTGTCGCCGCTGGCGACGGGCATATGGGTTTGCAGTCGGCTTTGTACTTAAGCTCAGCGCTCGCTTCTATCGAATGCGACGATCTGGGATCTATTAGCGGCAAGGCTGGGATTTCACGGGCCATGGGGGTCAAACTAAACGTCACTAAAGGCGGCTGGTGATGAGGGAAGGGCAAACAGGGCAGTTCGTCTTCCGCAGCAGCGACAGCATTTGGTTCTCGTCTGATAGGGGCCGCCGCGCCACCTGCTGCTGTTCCGGCTCTCCGATCAGAGGCCAATATCGAAGGGCTTGATAGGCAGCAGTCGCGTGCCCGAAGGGGAGTATTGCTCAGGCGAGGCCATGAGGGGATGGCTGGGACATGTAGGCATCGACTCGCCGATGTCATTCAGCCCTCCTCGCCGGCCAAGCCTCACCAACCGCGCAAACAAGGACACAGGGCGAGCGGGGTTGGGATGGGGGTGATCCTTTCTTTTCCCGCCGAAGCCGACGCCTCCCCCATTGAGCGACTTGATGCTGACTATCACCCGGCACAATCCCAAGGCTGCTTGTCACTTCTCGCTTGGAAGATGGACGGCTCGTGTGGCGAAGCTTCTCCTGCATTGATACGATAAGAAGATGAGGGTCGTTGCAGGGCAAACGAGCAGCGCATCTCATCTCATCTCATCCTGCCGTTGATAATGAATCCGGCAAGGCGAAATATACTTGGAACTCTACGCAGCTCTCAATAATAGCAATTCTATTGTTACACTCCAGACTGTATTGCTTGCAAGCGTGGGGTGCCTAGTTCACTGCAACATTGCTACCCACGCCGTCATCTGAATCTTTGGTATTGATTTCTATGTCAGCTGGGTATAGGTAAAACGTAGTGGTGGTAGATAGAGGCACCGAGATGTTGACTCTCACCAGAAGTCACAGGCTGCTCTTTCTTGCTCCTCGGGTACAACGCATTGGCCACGGGTGTCACGGCACCAAAGATGACATGTCGCCTTCGTGCACCATGGTGTGATGATTTCAGCCCTGCCTCATGCATGCCGGCAATTGAAACCTCGTAAGCTGTGCCGGGAGGATAGAGCGAAGGCTTACAATGCCCGCCAAAAGCGAGTTGTGTTTTGATCTACCCACACGGTCCCGCAAAACAAAGCGACAGCGCACAAATTTCAGAAATTGAAAGACTTCCCGCAGGAATCTGGAAGGGTTTAGCAGTCAGAAACCGTGTCTGAAAGGGTCCTCCCATTCCCGTTG